CTACTTCTTCTTCTTCTTCATCTTCTTTGGCAACTGCTTCTTCTTCTTCTACAATTGTATCAGTCCGCATTGCACGCTTACCAAATCAATTCGCATCAAAATCGAACCGAAACCCATCAAAATTGAGGCGCAGTCATCTATGATGCCATCTAGAGTCCACACCCAGGATACCTTATACCCCCTTACCCCCCTCCCTCTCCAGTGTGTGTGTGTGAGCTTTTGCATTTTAACGGTATATTCTGCGTAGGAAGTACGCTGGGCTGCACATTGCTAATATCCTGCGCCGCCGCCAATCCTAGGCCGCCGCAACGCACCAGCCTCCATCCCACTCTCCCCGACTCTTAACTGAAATACATTTCATTAAGATGCCCCCACAGACCAAGGAGAAACGCGTAGACTTCTTTAAATTAAGTATAGCGTAGTTTAGAAGTTCGCTTCTTGCGGCTGGACCAGAATGGACATTAGGCGTCCGTTTCGAGGGCGGCGCAGGAAGCGATAAAGATACGAGTACACTAAAAAAAATATAATACTAGCTCGAATATTGCCAAAATAAATATAAATATAAAAAAGAAATTTGTGCCATTAACTAAAATTTGACATTAATTATAATTCATATTAATATATATGAATATATATGCACACGAAATACAATTAAAATAAATAGCATGAATTCCAGTTGGAACTAGCCTTTTCTCTAAGTGTACTGCAGCGTAGCAATAAAACTGTTTATTTGGCATTGCCAGCGAGGCGTGGCAAGGGGCCATCTACACACACACACACACACACACTCGAAACACAAACACAGGCGCATTGTGGGATGTGTTGAAAACTCATAAATCTGAACACAGATGACAAACCGAGGCAGGGATCAGATCCAGGGGCAGGGGCAGGGACAGCACCAGTCCAGGTAGCCTCTGTCTGCGGCGCAGAGCAATTACCACATGCTACGATTGACAAACGCTGCAGGAGTTCAACTTGCCTGTGCGGGAGCTGTGCGGCAAGTGGAAACCCGAGAACTGGAGAATCGGAGAATCGGACAAACTGGCGAGAGAGACGGCGACTTCAAGTGCACAGCGCTCTTTTATATCTCCTCTCGTCTCGTCTTGTCTCGTCTCGACTTGTTTGTTTTTTTTTTTTTTTTGAATAGTTATTGCCACATGCTGCAAGTGCAACCGATTTATTTATACACACACACACACACTTACACACATTTATTTATATGCATTGTGCTGCTGCCGTTTGCTCACAAATTGGATTTGCTTGTTTGCTGTTGTTGTTGTTGCTGTTGTTGTTGATGTTGTTGCTGTTGCACTGTTGACATCCCAGCAATTACAGCGGCATTCTGAACAGCTTGCCCCGCCCCTGCGGCTGTAGGCGTGGCAGCACGAACGAGCGTGTGGCCAATGTAGTTTATAGTTTTAAATAGCCCGGCGCTATTTCGGTGCTGGCCACTCCGCAGGCGGCAAATAAACACACGCGCACACACACACACACACGCATAGACAGCCTGCCACAGTGTGTGGCAAGTGCAACTCATAAGCGCGACAGCTTTCGGCCTGAGCATTACGTAAACACAAAGACACCAACGCACGCCAAAAGCTGGGCCCGAGCTGAGCTCAGCTTTTGTGTCTGTCAGCTGCGTGGGCAAAAGCCGCCGCTCAGACGGGCTGCCAAACTGGTTGCTCGGCTCAAGGTGTTGCGGCAGCCAAGTAGTCAAGTACCGATACATACTATAATATATACCGATATATACATATGCATGCAGTATACACATCCGACTGCCCACACGGGTCGAGCGGGCGCAATCTTTCAAACTCGGCTGGCAATTGACAGCTGGAGAGCAGCGCAATTAACTCTGCAGCGAGAACAAACAGAGTCAAACGCAGACCACGAAGCCAAGTGCCCAATGGCTTCTGAGATGCTTGCTGCATATATACTACTGTACTCTGTACAGTGAAATCTATCCGAAGTGAACAAAGCTACGCTTTAAGCAGTTGTCGGAGAAATGGCAAAAAACAGCCAGCATTTTTAAAGCTATTTCCTATTTCTATATGCAACAGAAAATATGCATTTTAAGGATTTTATTTCAAGTCCAAATTTTGTATAAATTTGTAGACAGTTTTGTACAAGCACAATTGATCCCATCTAATTAAAATGGCTTGTCCGGAGTTGTTCGCCGTTAGCAGATTTGTTTTACTGTATTTGGCAGATTATCCGCTGAAGGTATGCGCGTTGCAAGGACTCTTCGTCCTGTCTTCCGTTTCACTCCATCTCCTACTCAGCTTTTCTGTGTGTGCTTAGCACTTGCCCTTTGAGCTCTAGAATGAATAGAAAACGCAGACTTGTTTCCTGCATGCATCTCCCTCTGTCTCTCTGTCTCCCCCTCCGTCCCTCTCCCGCTCTCTCCCTCTCCGTCTCGCTGGTCAAGCGGTGGCTCCTATTGTCAATGCACTTCAGTACATTTACCAGCTGTCAGCGACAAACGCAGCTGAGAAACCTTTTGGCGCTTTCTTTGCTGCTCCACCTGCTGCCCCTCCTGCCCCTCCTGCCCCACCTCTGCCCAGTCTCTTGCTTATCTCTCGCGCTTTCGTACTATCTATTACGACATGTTTGCCCTACACTTTCGCCGAGACTCTTCTGTGGCACACATTTCAGCGTTTCAGCCACAAAAAAAGAATCGCACTCTCCTTCTGTATACGTGTCCTTGTGCTTGTTTATGTGGCCCTCGAAAGCCCGTCCGTCCGTCTATCCGTCTGTCCGTTCACCGGTCCGCATGTCCGGCTGTCCTTTCTGCCTGTTTGTTGACATATTATGATCCTTGATTATTTTGTGCTGACAAATAAATGCTTTTATTTTGCTTTTCTATGCTTTGACTTCGCATTCAACTTCATCTACATCTTCTTCTGCTTCTACCTTTTGCTACCAATTTCCTTGCCCGCGTGTGGCATTCAGCTTCAGCCTGTGGCCGCCGTTGCCAAGGTGCGCAGGCTTTCATTTCTCTTACTTTTTTTTTTTTTTTTGGCTAATTGGACCGAAGCAAAGCTCGGGAATTAGTTGTCCGCTTAGCTCTTCATATGTTTCATCGACTCATCTTTTATATTTGTGGGCGTTGCCCTGTTACGCAGCTGCTGTCCCTCGCAATAGAGAGTTGTGTGTGATAGGGGAGAGTGGGGAGACGGAAGGAGGAGGCACTGATTCCAACAGTCCAACATATGGGAAAAGCAAGATTGCACTAGGGGAAAAGTTCACACTTTTTGTGCTATAAATTAAAAACTCAACATTGCTTTAACATTTAAAAAAAAAAAATGTTCAATATATGTGTTAAAAGAATTGATGTTTTTCAAGTTTCAGAAAACAAAAACTGTTACCAAAGTTTATTCTGCTAAGTTTAAGTTTTTTCAATAGCAAAAGTTCGGCTAATGCGAGAACAGCTCCGATTAACAGCTGTTAACTTAACAGAAGCTGTGTTAACTTTTCTGCCCAATAACATTACAGTTTGCTGTATTTGTAATGTATTTTAAGCACAAAATGATGAAAGTTCGGCTAATGCGAGAACAGCTCCGATTAACAGCTGTTAACTTAACAGACGCTTGAGCTATGTTCACTTTTCTGCCCAATAACATTACAGTTTGCTGTAGTTGTAATGTATTTTGAGCACAAAATGATGAAAATTAGCCACAGTGTATTGTTGGCGACCTGCCGCTGGCGCTCTTGATTGCCTATGTGATTTCGTCAACGAAATCAACAAAACAACAACAACAACAGCAACAACAACAAAGAGCAGCCCATCACAAAGGCAAACGCCCACCAAAAAGCTACCAAATCTAAAAACGGTGGGCGTTTAAACATATTTTGTGAATTATATTTGATTGCTATTGTTTTGGGGGCCATCGAAAATGGAGACGGCCAAGTTCCGTAAAAAGCCTCAGCCGCACAATGAGTTGCTGAATTTCAATGGCCTGGGCAGCTGGTCTTGGGCTTGGGCTTGGGCTTGGGATTGAAGGGCGGAAGTGCGATAAGCGCCTGACGAAGTGCATGTGCTAGCCACTAGACCACGCCCCTTTGCCCATTGATTCGATTGCAGGCAGAGCATAAAAGACGGATGTGGAACGCTGTCGACGTGCGTCTTCCGGCTCGCACTTTAATTATTAATTAGCTCCAGTGCTTTGGCTGGGCTTCTTTTCTTTTAGTTTAGAGTTTTTTAGTTTTTAGAGTGCCACAAGAAAGAGTTGCGGAGCGCTGACTGCGGTTAAAGGACACACTGTTGCTGATGCTGACCCGCCGAATCTCCTCCTCTTCAGTTTCCCATCGCCCGAGCATGTGAACGACATGTGAAGACACCTTCAGACTCATCAGAGCTTTGCTCTGACCGCAACGGTTATTAAAAGGAAGTTTGGCTTACCACAAGTCCAACACGCACACACAGACAATGTGACACATGCAGTCCCTTAACAGTTCCTACACTTTCAGAAAAACTCAAGAAACTTGTGCTCGTGTATCTATTTCTGAAACTTGGTTAACATTTTGTTAAAGCGAAAATTCTTTATAAGAAAAATGAGCTGAATAAAAAAAAGGTCTCACTTCTTTTAAAGATTGCAATGCTTCTTTTAAGCTTGCAAATTCTTAAAATATGTATTTTGTATTTATTTTTATTCACACCAATTTTTCTCATGTTTCACAGTTTATTTCAAAATATTTCAGCAGCAAAAGGTGGCAAATCAGTTTCAAGAAATAGACTCAATTATATGTTGATTGTTCTGAAAGTAAGCACAACACTTTTCTCTCAGTGCACAACCGATTCTTCTGCTGCGTCTGGCTTGACAGCCGCAAAAGTCAAGCGAAATGACTTGTGTTTTTGGCCTAATGAGCTCGGTTTGGGGGCTAGGCCAGGCTATTAAACAGTGCAGCAGCAACAGCTGCTGGAGGTGGGCGCCACGCCACGCCTACCCTTCAGTTAACGCCCCCCTTTTGTCTGTGATATGCCAAAATGTGAAACTTACCAATGCAGAGCAGTCGAAGCTGTTTAATCCAATGCGAATGCTGCTGCTGCTGTTGTTGCTGTTGTTGTTGTGGTTGTTGTTGTTGCTGCTGCTTCCGTTGCTGCTGTTGCCGACAACTGCAATTGTTGCTGCTGCTGTGATTGTTGTTGTTGCTTTGTCTGCGTTTTCTTGCATTTTGCTGTTGTTGCTGTTCCTGTTTCTGCTGTTCTTCTTCTTCTTCTGGCTGAGCTTGTGCTTGTGTTTTCAATGCCATTTTGCTCATAGCCTTAACAGTTGTTGTTGCTGTTGTTGTTGTTGTTGCTGCTGCAGTTGCAGTGGCAATTGCTGCTGCTTTGTCCGAAACGCCTCAAAGCTGAGTGCTATAACAAGCAGCAGTTGCTGTGGCCGCTGCTGCAGCGCCGCATTTGTTGCAGTTGCAGGTGAAGTTGCAGTTGCAGGTGTATTTATTGTTGGTTCAAGCAACTTTGTGACGCCACGCAACACACAGTTCGGCCCGACTTAAATACCCTATAAACAAACTAGTTTCAGGCTGAGCCTCGATCGAGCGGGGCCATGTTACGGGTTACGGCTTACGGGTTACGGGTTAACTGAGGCGGCGACAGGACATGTGACGAGCCGTGACGTGCCGGAACGGAAGGAGCCTCGCGCGACGCAACTAACGAAGCCGCGCGACAAAATACAAGAAACAACGAAATTGTTGACGAGCAATCGACGAAGGATGCTTGGAGGAGGAAGAGGAGCTGAGAGTAACGGTGCCTTGAATTTTGGACACTTGCACTTGATGTGTGGGGTACATTCGCTGGGATATTAAGTATATTCCCGCACAGCTTTAAGATTAACAATTGGCATCACTTTTGGCGCAGACTCGATAATTTGGCGCTTGTACCGCGGCGGCTGCCGAATGGACCAGCACGTGTGTGTGTGTGTGTGCGTGCGTGTTGCGAGTGTGTGTAGCGCCCGTTTGCTTTATCGAGGCGTCCACACTGAATGAGAGCTAAAACCGAACTAAAACTTCTTCTAACTGGCGAAGCCATCTGCAAGCAGGCAGCAGCCAGCAGCCAGCGAAGGCAAAACTCACGAGTACGCCTTCGTGAGCACGCCTTCGTCTTGTGCAGCTCGAGAGAGAGCGAGAGAGAGAGAGAGAGAGAGCGCGTGCTGTGATAACACAGACAATTGGACTCATTGTGTTTGTTTGGCTCTGGCTGGCATTGCAGGTGAGCCGCTTTGTTCGCCGCAAGTAGAGCCGGTTTTACACTCTCTCATTGTTATACTTATACAAAGACACTCTGTGCACTTATACACAACGAGAGAGAGGCAGGCATGTGCGTGCTACGAGTCGCATACAATAGTAGCAGCCAGTCGGGCTTCGATGTTTCCGGCATTTATGCGCTACAGGACTTATACGTTACTTATATGCGAATAAGTGGTGTTTTTGGTTTCTGGTTTCCTTACACTGGTAGCACCCAATATAAGTGGTGGTTTATGTATACGATAAAGCGCGGGTCTTGACTTATACTGATTATGCTGCCGTGTGCCTGGAAGTATACACCACGCTTAAGTGTGGTGGTGGTTTAGGTATGCGACTAGATGACTTATACACTCTACGCTGCCGTAGGTGTATGCTGTGTATCGTATACTATGCAATCGTATATTTATACAAAAGTGAATCTACTAACATCTTATAATATAAGTGACGGCTGCTAGACTTATACTATACACTTATACAGTGCATTTCAATGCTGTTAGATTTGACCTTATAAATTCTATGATTTTGGTTTGCATTACCAAAACTGTTATACACCGTATAAGCAAGGTAGAAGACTTGCCTTTCGTAGAAGTTGCGACAAGTTCGATGCGCTGTGCTCAGCCAACAGCATTAACAACAAAAACAAAGAGTAAACAAATAACAAATATCAGCGTAATGCTTAAAGGGAAATCCAAGTTTAATAATTTAGATTTCTTTTCTCAATATACTTATAATTTTCACAGTTATATGTACATATATATATTTTAGTTCTGACATGTATTGGGGCAATATATAAATAAACATAAGGGGTAATTTAAGTACATAATATAATAAATATTCTTAGGCAACTGTGCAACTATAAAATTGCTGTTAAAAAGTTCGATTAAAGGGTATTTAATCTTCGGCTTGTCGCAGATAATTGCTCTTTCTTGTTTATGTGCATTTCTTTGTCTCATATTCTTCGCACCCCTTCTTATACTCGAAATACTCATGAAATTCCCTTGCCAAGTGTAAGTAATTTTCATTTCATTTGCAAGAGAATTACTTCACACGCACGCACACACGCACGCACACACACACACGTGTGTGCGTGAGAGACAACAACAGACACTTGTTACTCTCCGCTCGCCACACGCGACAAGTCCCGCGGGAAAGCTTCGCGTGCAATTTGTCTGAAATAGACGTGAATTTGGATGTGAAATGGCAGCAAACTGTTGCTGCTCGTGCAGGGGTAGAGGGGGAAGGGTGAGGGTGAGGGTGAGGTGAAGAGCTGACAAGGAGGAACTGCTAGCAAATTTAGGAGTAGGCGTGCCAGACGAAAAGAGCAGCCAAAGGCACAATAAAAGCCAGATTAAATCCTTAGAAACGTTGAATTTGGGCCAAGTGCGCAATTCAATCAACAGCTCTGCTAGTGACCAGAGGGGCCAGAGGGGCAGAGGGGCCGAGGGGCAGTGGGCGTGCCGCCTAATAAGCCTCAATTTAAAATTGAGTGCTAATCTTTTTATGCGAAAACATAGCGAAGCGAAAATAACAACAAGCAAAACAAAAATAGAAAGCAAAAGAAGAAGACGAAAACAACAACAACAAAATGGCAGCTAAATGACAAACTGGCAGCGTTGTCCTTGAGCCAGGCGCAGAGCAAATGTCCTGGCAGATAGAAACGCAACAAGACAAAAAAAAAGACTCGAATTCGTTTTCAAATGTATTTTGCACATCATTTTCCAGCTCTCTCTCTCTCTCTCTCTGTCGCCCAACCCCCTCCCTCCCACCAAATCAGTTTCCGCTTGGCTCCTTTTTCACAGCGTTGCCAGCTGCAGCAAAGTTATTTCTGATTCCCAAACCGGAAGTGACAGGAAATGCAGTGTCTGTTGCTCAAAAAGGATTCAGCTGTTTTTTAAACCGCCGAATTGTGGTTGAAATGAACAAATAGCTGCTGCGACTCGCACCACATCTTCTCTGATAGTGAGCACAGGCTAAGGCTAGACGAGCGCCTCAAATTAGCTACAATAATACCCTGTAACTTTGCCAACGAGAGTGCTTAAAAACACTGACGAAAATGGATACCTATCGATACCTAAAATGGCAGAGTATACAAATTGATTATGCCCAGCTGCTGTATACCCTCATTTGGACACATGTAATTAGTATAGGGTATATTAGTACAGGGTAAAGCATTCTGGTCTGCTTTATTGCCAACAGATTTGATTCATTTCCGGCACACCGCAGAGAGCACGTTAATGGCAGAGTATATAAAAATGTATCTCTGCTTCTGTTACATGAGCTGTATACCCTCACTAAGCACTTTTAATTAGTACAGGGTATACCACACTACCATTGCTGCTAATATCTATTGTGCCAAGCATTCTGGTCTGGTTTAGGGCTAAGCCAACAGATTTGATCCATTCCCGGCCCGCTTTTAGACAAGCATTTACACTGCCCGAATTCGGCACATCAATCGCCCATCTAAAGCCCCCTTTTTTTTGCAGTGCAACTTGGCAGAGTATCGTAATCTTCAGCGCACACCTCCAACCCTGCTACCAGCCCCTTCCCTTCCCTGCCATGCTGCGATTGAGTCGGGCGTTTTTTTCCTTGCCACTTTTCTGGGGTTGCTGTCTTACTTCCTCTTCTTCTTGTTGTTGTCGTTGTCGTTGTTGTTGTTGTTGTTGTTACTTAGTAGGCCGCCATTGTAGTCTCTATTTGTTTATTGTTGTTGATTCAGCCCATTCGGCATTCGGCATTCAGCATTCCCCCGCCCCCGCCTCCGCCCCGCGCGCCCTTTGCCCTGTGTTTTGCTTCAGCTATTTGTCTTTGTACATTACCAGCTCAGCGACAACTTATCCAGCCCCGCCCGCCGAGCAGCCCGCCCTAATCCCGTCAAGATTTGAGTACAAATTTTCATATGCGATTTGCAATTTATGGCTAAGTGATGCTTTGTAAATTCATATCGCAGCAATTTTCCAGGCATTTCCAGTGTCCAAAAGCCGTCGATACTTTTATGAAATTAAATGCAAATATTTTTACAGACGCGCAACAACAAACAAGTATTTGCGTGGCAAGGCGAGTCAACAAGCTGGCCCACACACACACACACACACACACACACATGCGAGAGTCTCTTGAGAAAAGTTTAGATACATTTGCAAACAATACACGCACAACTTGGACTCTAATGCCGGGTCCGAGTTCAAGTCCGAGACTGAGACGCGTTCCAGACGAAGTCGTCTGCCAAGTTATGCGACTTCTCGTTCCAGCACGCACGCAGTTTTTAATTATGTTTTGTAATTTACTCGCACTTTATATAAAACACAATTGCTCAGTGTTTTCTTTTCATTTTTCTATACCCTGTAGCCATTCACAGCGGGCACAGCATATTCGTATCAGGTCCAGTTAATTATATATCATTGACAAACCTCTCCGTAGAAGCTGTACCAAATCTTAGTCCTGATAAACATCAAAGAGCTGACAGAGGGAAAGCAAATAGTTTGTACAGGGTAACTCCTATTCGAGCACTCTTCACTAGGGTCTGCCTTCCTGCCTTTTTGTCACTTTGTTGTTTTTTGTTTTCTTGGTAAATTGGCAAACGAAATGAACTCATTTCTTTCGATTCGCATTTGATGGCAACGTCCAAATTCGTAGTCTGCCGTGGCCTATTTTAAAGGTGCCCCATTTTTGGGTTTGCTACAGTCACACTCACACACACACACACGCGCGTGCATACACAAACAATTGAAAGTTATTTGTGAAAATTTTATTGTAATTACAAAAGTTTTGCCGTGTTGTTTTCTCGCACAGCTCGCCCCCCCTCGCCCCGCCGCAACCTTTTCTGAGGGCTTCTTCGATTGCCTGATACCTTGAATTTTACTCAAAATTCCCCCCGACCCCTTCAGCCACTTTTTATTTGGCGCTATTTCTATTCCTAGTCCTGTTACTGTTGCTGTTGCTGCTGTTGATTCAGTTTGCCTTGCCACGTTTCGGTTGCGTCTCCGACTGCGTCTTGCTGGAAAACTTTATCCACTTCATTATTTGCTCGTTTTCATTGCTTTGTTTCGTTGTTTGTTCGTTTGTTTGTTTGTTCGTTTGTTCGTTTGTTTGTTTGTTGGTTCGTTTCGATTTTAATTGTACCCCCGCCACCTGCCATTTAATGGCAAAGAGGTGCGAGTATATTAAAATAAACCCCAACCCGAACCCCCTAAGCCAAACGAGCCCGGTAAACGCGAGCCTCAGTAACTTTGTTGCTCTGCCAAAACTAACCTAAAATAAAACCATGCTAATAAATTAGTTTCATTCACAATTCCAACTTGGATTTGTGTACCTGGATAGTAACTAAAAACCCGAAACGACCAAAGGTGGCTGGGGAATATAAACTTGAATTGATTATCGAAAACAGGATAAGTTATAATTTCGGAACAAGCCATAAAGTACATGAAAGTGTGGCCGATGTTCGGATCACATCAACAATTGCAACGTAGATACATCAAGTTATTTATAGTAAAAGTTTCCACAATATCGTGTGCCCTTCTTCAGATTATTATAGATAGGCTCAATGGGCACGGCATATTTGGGGCTCAGGATATACTGCTCCTGGGCCAGTCGGATGAGATGCTGCAGCGGCTCGGAGATGCGCCGCTTTCCATACTGTTGTGGACTCTGGTGCTGTGGCCCGAGCTGCTCCTGCTGCTGATGATGATGATGATGATGATGATGATGATGATTATCTGTAGATGACCGAGAGCCCATTATTGTGGTCGGACGTTGGCATAACGGGACGGCGGCATATGGGTTTTTGATTTTCAGAATCGTCTTCTTGGGCTGCCTGTTATTGTCATTAATGTCGGTCTTTTGAGTCTTCTCGTGGCTCTTGTCGCCAATATCTGCATCGGCTTGCCTTTGGTTCCAGTAGGCACGCAGCATTGTCGCATCCACCACCACGATCTTGGGCATCTCGTTTGGGCATCTTGCTTGTTGCGGATTCGTTCTGACACTGCGTTGTTTTCGCTTCTTTCTCTTCATGCCCTCGCCACAATTCAGAGATATTATGTCCGCTTGTCTGCAACCCTTACAGTGCAGAAAGCCGCTCCCCTGCTGCCTTTGTGCACTGTGTACCTGCCGTTGATCAGCGTCTACAGGATTGCAGGCTAGTTGCCAGGATAAGCTCAGATTGGGGCTGGCCGGCATTGCCGCTGTCAGCGCCGGACACAGAGACGGAGGCGGAGAGGGAGACGTTGTCCTTGTGAAAGACATGCAAGGCGTCGACTGGCAGCGTTTCACCGCGACGCTGCTGAAATACCTGCTGAGCTCCACATAGTCGGACCATCTCTTTTCAGTTTGCCCCTCGGGCAAGCGATCGGGTGTTCCTTTATCCATTTATAGTTTTACCCAGTTAATTACTTGTTTAAGCTACTTGTAACGGCTAATTTAAAAACTGTGCGAAAGTTAACCAAACAACATTTTATAGATATATTAAAAAAAAAAATTTTATCAAAAATTTTTATTTTCTATTTTTGTAGCTGTTTGAAGTGTGTTACTTAGTATCTGATTTTAGAATGACGAAAATTTACAAACATTTCCAAAGCAAACAAACTTTTCTCTTTGACTGTGTTTTTTGTCATTTTGAAAGTGTGACTTGTTTTTAAAGAAAATCAGGCAAAGATTCAAATTCTTCAAAAAATAATCACAGACTGCAATGGAATATAGCCCAAGTCTAGATAGCTGAAATCTTAACTCACGCTTGGCAAATTTCACCCGCAAGTGTGGAAAATTGGCGGAAAACGGATGTATTTTCTTATTTGTCATCCCATTGGACTTGGAGTGGAAAAGGTTATCGAAGTTTTAATAAGCGAAAGACAATTTATCGACTTCACGCTCATTTACAAAGAAATGCATGGTTTTTACAAAGTACTTTACCCAAATAAGAAATATAATCCTGGATGAAGAGCAAAACACTTTTCACAAGCATTTACATGCTTGAAATAAGCTCAAAATGTTCTCAACCATAATTTTCCTAGATTCTTATAGTATATTTGGGTTCATTTTAGGAAATTTGGGCATTGCATAAAGGAAATTTCGTTTTTAATAAAAGTTCTTGTCTTAGATTCGTATTCTATTTCTGGGTCTTGACCTTAGGAAATTCCGTGTTCAATAAAAGTTCTTCAAGCAGGAATTTCGTCTTTAGCTTCAGAATTTTAAACATTTCTAGATTTTTTATTCCAGATTGAATCAAGTTGTGATTTAAAACGGATAAAATATTTGCAATACTAAGTTGTAATACCTGAATGTAATCTTTGCTTATGAATATGTTTGGCATTTGTTGGGTTTTGTTTATGGCCTATATGGGTCGCAGATTGCTGCCTTGTCCGCACCCTCACCCCCTTCCCACACACACAAACACAACCACACACACATAAACTTTCAGATCGGCTGGGGCATTAATGCAAATAAGTGGAAACACAAATATTTTCAACGTTTTGTGGTCAGGGCAAACCTTTCTCTCTTTTCCCTTTTTTTCTGTCTGTGTTCTGCTGGCTCAAACATGGCCCATGCCCAAATAAATCGCTAGAGGGGCGTCCTCTGTTCTTCGGCCTCCGTCCTCGGCAACGGCAACGGCAGCAACAAGGTCGATGGATCATTTCCGCTGTCATGGCGCTTCCTGAATCCCTTTGCCCAAGCGTCCGTTTGGGCAACCGTTTCCTGTCGGCGACGTAGTTAAATATTGAAATTTATATTTAAAATATTTCAAAAAATACAGTTAAATGTGCGCTTTCCCTTTCCCTTTTCCCGTTAGCCGTCATTTTTCACTTTAGTTTATGTGCCGCATGTTTAATTTATGAGTTCAACCTGCCCCCAAATGCTTTTGCTCGAAGTCTGCCTTCCACATTAGGCCAATGAATATGAAAATCAATTTGGCTGGCCAGCAGGCGTCACACGCACCACAACACACACACACACACCCCATTAGTGTGCGTACAACCTTCCCGCTGAAGGTCAAAAGCATGTTCTGCTCTTTAAACAATCGCAGCTCGTGCTGGACTGCCCGTTCGCCCAGGTCTGACCGAGTCCAATTTAATAGCGCATTCTACATTAATTTCTCAAATTGACAATCATTTTGACGCTGACTTAACCATTGACCATTGTTGTCTTTCCTTTTTTTCTAAACAGAATAAAGTACGCGCTGCTTAGACTTCCGGTTCGTTGGCGAGGGTTCGGGTGAGTTTGTTTTTTTTTTTTTATGATATTCCCCCCGACCCTCGATTTCCAATTAGCAACAGGAATCACCTTTTTGTTTTGGGCTTTTCCTTTTACTTTCCTTTCGACTTCTTTACGTGTCTTTGTGTTAATTGAAGATTTGTACTTGCTACGATTTTATGAGCAAGGGATAACTCGGGCAGCTGCCGGCCATTGGGGGTTGTGTTTTTCCAACTTTCCTGCGAAAGATGCTACAAAGATGCCCCAGTTCAGGCTGCCGTAGGAAGGGGGGGAAGGGGGAGGGGCGGCTTCTCACGGTAAGCAACTGAAACTTGTTCGATAAATGGCGTAATAAATGGAGCTCGTGCTGTCGGGCCCCGAGTAGTCGAACAGGATCCTCGGCACGCGCAGGTTAATTGCATTTCGCACTCATTTATTTGACGATTTCGCTTGGGTCGGATGTAGTGTGGCGTCTGGGCGCCTGGCCAGGACATGGTGCTGAATCTATACAGACGATGCTTTAACTTGTATTTGTATTTAATTAGGCATGTCGTTTTTATGCTCTTAGATTTATTTGGTCAGCGCCTGGTTTGGGAATGTGTGCATTGCATTTCCTCTGTGCGCAGTGCTCGACTTTGGCAGGCACAAATGGAAGCTGAAACAGGATGTGGCACTGCCAGAGCACGATGCGAACGCAAAAATCCACGAATCCACTTAGCGGCGCATAAATTTTGCTGCGAACATAAAGTACAAGTGTACAAACAAAGGACTTTTGGCGACGGCGACGACGACGACGACGACGACGACGAGGAGGATGAGGATGAGGACGAGCGGCATTAAAAACATAAAGAAACCGCATTCAAGTCCAAAGTCGGACAAAGTGCAGCTGAGCGGCCTGGGCAAACATAAACTGGGCGAGTGAATAAAATCGCTGCCAGAGCAGATGAAAAATGAAGGAGTGCTAGGCTGAAATCCTCTGCAGAGCGGAGCCCAGCCGGGCCGGGCCCCAGACCTTTGCCTATTTACAAATGTCCTCGCCAGCCAAGCGGACCAAAGGAGCACCGAATCATAAAGAGACCGGCCTCCGCCCCCCCTCAAGAAGATGGCGAGTGAAATGCACGTAAAATAATAAACAAGGCTTTGCAAACAATAAATGTTGCTCCTGCTCCTGCTCCTGCTCCTGCTGCTACTTCTACTGCGCCTGCTGCTCAGTTCCTCAGCTCCCGCCCGCTACGAGCTGTTGGCGACGGCGACGAGATTTCTGGGCAACCATTGTCGAGTCTTGTTGCAGCACGGAGTGCTCCCGACGTTGCACTCGCTCTTATTGTTATTGTTGTTGTTGCATTAAATGCGAAATGCTTGTAACGGCAATGCAAATGTAATGGGCAAAGGACCTTTCACGCTGCTGTGCAGCCAGCCTCCGTATGCTGCAGCCAGCTTTTGGGCTGCAGCTGCAGTAAATATTCGCCGGGGTCAGCCGCTAGTTATGCAGCCAAGTGGCAAGGCGGCAAGGCGGCACGGCAGACAGCCGCCGGAGCTGGCGACGTCGACATTGCCACGTCCTTATTAATTGCAACAATAACTGAGCCGTGTTGTTGCCACGTCGTGGCAATGGGTGTAGGTGAACCGGCCAGCCTCGCAAGGCCACTTCTTTATGGTCTGCTCTGACTGCGAATTTATGGCATGGCGAGCACAGGAAGCGGCACTTAGCTTCTGGCACTTAGCCCTCCACTTAGCAAACTGTCCTGGTCCTGGTCCAGTTCATCAGAAGACGAGGCGACAACCGTAAAGGCAGCCTGTCAGACCAGACACACATATATGTATGTATATGATCCACCAAATGCATATCAATCGCCAGGCACAGCCACTTCTTTAGTGTCTGCCGATAAGTAATTACGCGAGCTTTAACTGGGCCTCAGGCATCTCTTTGCCAGCGCTGTAAAAGCCATTCCTGTTGGCCTAGGTTTTTATGAGCCAAGACTTTTTGGGGCTCTAAAAACATTTAAAGGCAATAAAGAACGGCAGGCGTTATCAAGAGGCCCTCAAACTCAGAACGGTCCGATTTTCAGCCAGGTATTCAAATTAGAGAGCGACAGCTACCCCCTCACTCCAAAAGGAAATGAGCCAGTGGCTTGCGCCGTAAAATCCCCGGCGACCATAAAAACCACTGTGACGCTGACGTGGGAAAATCGGAAGGGGGGCAAGCGAAAAGGTGGTAAAGGTGAAAAAGGGGCAGCAAAAAAGGGCAAAAAGTGCTTGGCAGTGATTTTTTTTTGCTTCATAGCCTGGCAAAAAAAAACGAAAATGAACTCGAAATGTCGTAGAAAAAGTTTATTTTAATGAAATTCGCGTCGACATTTAACGTCAACGGGCAGCAGGTGAGAGCAGTGCGGCAAGAAGCTCTCCAAGGTGGAACAGTCAAAACCAATGGCAATGTGATTCACGTGATGTTCAAAACCCGCGCACAGGCTGAACCTCTTCCTAAAAAAAAACAAATTGGCCGCCGCATGTATTTAATTCGACTACCTTACCAAATCGAAGTTTAGCTTAAACACAGCCAACACAATCGACTATAAATTTAAACAACCACACAACACTAGACTGGAAGTCGGTTCTAGAGTGCCAAAGTTGAAGGTGATTGGCTGTAAGCTGCTTTATCTGAGTATGTTATTATTTAAATAGCACAACAAAATAAGAAAACCAATCTACAAAGCTTACATTTACATTTTTACATTTTTGAGAATCGCATAGAAAGGTAA